AAAGAAAATCTAAGAGCCTGAGACTTCACATAGAATCCAAGGATCAGGGAAACTTTAACCACTGTAGTGTTAGAATGGATATATGTTTGGTTATGTATGTTGCCACCCCAAACCAAACAGAACCCAAGGGTGGGAGGGAGAGGGAAAAAAAAATGGGGGTGGGGGTGGAATCTGGTTTCATTAAATGTAAATACTGCAATGGCAAAAGATATCATAAAGTCAGTAGGAAAGTGGTAGATGTCGAGGCAGGACTTGGATTCATATCTATAATACACAGACTTCTCACAAATTGGACAAGACAGTCACCCAAGGGAAAAGAATGGGCAAAGCAGATTGAGATGGGTAATTCACAAGAGGTCAGATTTCTAATAAATATGAAGTAACGCTCAGAGTTTAGCAGTTGGGACAGTACTAATTGTAACAATGATATATTGACTGTGTTAGTTTTAATATATTGACTATATTAGTCAATGATATATTGACTGTTGCTACATAACGAATTCCCGCCAATTTAGCAGCTTGACACCATATGCATTTCTGTTGTGACCATCTCTGTGAGCAAGAAGCCCAGGTATGGCTCTCCTGGGTCCTCTATTTGGAGTCTCAGCAGGCTGGAGACTAGGTGTTGCCAGCTGTGTTCCTTTCTGGGATTCAGAGTTCTAGTCCCAGCTCACGATACTTGGCAGAATTCTTGCTTGAGGTGTGTGCTTTCTTGCTGCTGTCAGCTGGAACTATTCTGATCTCAGAAGCCCTACAGTCCCCTCTCACAGGCCCTCTCACAGTAGGGTAGGGCAGCTTATTTCTTTTTAAGCCAACCAGCAAATCTCTGACTCCAGTCAGCTAGTATCAGAACGTAATCATGGGAGTGACTTGCCCATCACCTTTGCTGTATACTATTAGGATCAAGTCATACGGTTCACCCCCACGTAATGACAGACTCACCGGTGCTGTCATGGTTGGAACTCTGCCTGCCACAGTTCTGTCACATCCATTGCATTGGACATGATTAGAAAACACCTGTTGTGTTTATTCCTGGGATGGGTTGGGAGGCCTGTGCACGAAAGGAAAGAGCTATGTAACAGGTTTTGTTTTTTTTTCATGAATATCTGGTCTCTGGTACAAAGCAAGGACATTTGTTGCAGCATTATTAGCAATGGCAGGACACTGTACACCAAGTGAATGCCCATTCGAGGGGAGTGGTTGATGGGCAAGGTGGTCTTCTAGAAAAGCTAGCTAAGTACTGATGGACCTGGAGGGATTTACAAGCAGTATTATTGAGTGAGATAGACTAGATGTAGAAAAGCTCCCTAATTCTTACAGGAAGCAAGGCAGAAACAACCTTATATTTACATGTGTGGGGGTATTTGATTGCATGAGTATGGCATTTTGTGGGACTATTCCTTTTTACGTGCGTACAGAACTTTTAAGATGAATAAGCAATGTTGGCAGTTCAAACCCACCAGCTGCTCCTCAGAAACCCTACGTAGGGTTTCTATGAGTCAGAACTGACTCCACTGCACTTACCAGCAATACTTAGCTTGCATTTTTGTTATTGTCAAAATGTGTTATCTTATAACTGGCATTGAGGTGCCTTAAGTCCAGAACACTAGCAAACCAAGCAGGATTGGAAAGTAAGACAAATCTGTTAGTTGGAGATATTTCCTTTGTCTGAGCCTTCTGCTGTAGCACTGTAGGATCAGTACTGGGCTGTGAACAGCAAGGTCAGCAGTTCAAACCCACCATCTGCTCTTCAGAAGCCTCTACAGGATTAATAGGGGTCGGAACCCATTCGACAGCACAAGCATTCATAAATACTTGTTGATACTAATGAGGTATAATGATAATCATTATGTAATAACTAGCGTTTACAGGAAGTTCTGTGGCACTGTATGATAAGCACTGACCTGCTAACCCCAGGGTCAGCAGTTCAAGCCCACCAGCTGCTCCTCAGAAACCCTAAGCAGGGTCGCTATGAGTCAGAAGGTACGCGATAGCACTTAACAACCACTCTATTTAACATAACTGAAGTCTAGTTAAAAAGTTACTTCCATTTTTAGAGTTAAATAGAAATAACTCTTGTTCAGTCTCTATTATCAATATTCTAAGGAGCTCTGGTAGCGTAGTGGTTACAAATCAGGCTGTGAACCTCAGGGACAGCAGTTCGAAACTACCAGCCGTTCTGCAGAAGAAAGATGAGGCTTTCTGCTCCTGTAAAGATTTACAGCCTTGGAAACCCTGTACCGGGTCGCTATGAGTCGGAACCGACTCCACGGCACATAACAACAACAACAAATGGATTGTTTGCTGTCATTTTGCTGGTTTTTTTGTGTGTTTTTTTTTTGGTGTGTGTGTGTGGTATTATCAGTTTCTTTGTTCCACATAAATTTCTGCTTTGACTTCGTTTTGTTTGTGGGTTTTCTTTTCCTTTCTTTCATTGCTTTTTTTGGAGTTTACTAAATCATCTTGATCTTCCTCTAATTTCGCCATCATATTTGAGGACAGCTTTGCTGGGTATATGATTCTTGGTAGTCAGTTTTTTTCTTTCAGAGTTTTGTATATGTCGTCCTGTTACCTTTTTGCTTGCATAGTTTCTGCTGAGAAATCAGTCTAGTCTTACTGGTTCTCCTTTGTAGATAGCTTTGTTTTTCTTGAGTTGCTCTCAGGAATTCTTCCTTGTCTTTGGTTTTGGAAAGTTGGATTATGTTATGTCTTGGTGATTTTCTTTTCAGATCTTTCCTGTTTGGGCTGCACTCAGCTTCTTGAATGGTTATCTTCTTGTGTTTCATGTTGTTAGGGATATTCCCCCCCCAGCAACTCTTTGATGAATTTTCTGTACTTTTTAATTGTCTCTCCTTGTTCTGGAAATCTGACTACCATAAATTATTCCTGTTTATATTGTCCCACTTAAATCTCAGACTTTCTTTCAATTGTGTTCTTTTTTGAGATAATTCTTCTAGTTTATTAGTGTTGAGAAATTTATCTTCAAGGTCACTCATTCAGTTTTACATTGATTCGGATCCACTCCTTTGCTCTTTCAATGTATTGTCCATTTCTGCAATCTTAGTGATTAATCTTCTGGATTTAGTTTCAGGTTTTTTTTAATTGTTTCAAATTTTGCATTTGTTTTGACTGCTTATTCTAGTGTTTTCCTAAAATTTTCTGAAGTTTTTTTTGTTGTTCTCTTTGTTGTTGTTATTAAGTGCCGTTGAGTCGATTCCGACCCATAGCGACCCTGTATAGGGTTTCCAAGGAGAAGCTGGTGAGCTTGAAGCACTGACCTTGCAGTTCAAACAACTTTGCAGTCTGACGCATTAGCCCACAGCGCTATTTGCATCTTGGTCATTTGTTTGAATCAGTCTCTCTTGTTTCACCTTGTGAGCCAAAACCGGCTGTTGTTTCCGACACATTGTGGTGATTTTTATTGATATTTCATTGATGAATGTATGCTGGTGTGTATCTAGGCTCTCATAAACTGTCTCTTGGTGAGTGTGATTAGAGAACGGGAATTTGTGCTTTGTTTTCTGTGTACCGTTCTTGCCGCCCTGTCATTAATCTGGTGGTATAGGAGCTGGCATTGTGTCTTGTCCCGTGGGTGGAGTTGCAGAGGGCACTGTTACAGCAGAGCTGTGTGGGCACGGTAGCTTTCTTCCGGGAGGTGGGCAAGAGTGGAACACAAAACAGAACAAACAAACCAGCAAATAACAGTGAAAATAATATAATAAAGAAACAAAAATGAGCAACAAGGGAAGAGAGGAACAGGAAAATAAGGCCATACATTAGAAAAAGAAGAGAGAAAATGAAGAGAAGAAAACATTAAAAAGAACAGAAAGGGAAGATGAAATGAGAGAAACTAGAGAGTTGTAATGAAAAATAAAGAGGAAGAAAAGAAGAGGGAAATGAGCAGAAGAAAAGGCAAGAACAAAAGCGGAGATAGAAAGGCTAAAAGTCAGGGGAAGGGAAAGAGAAGAAGAAGGAGTAAGAAGAACAGTTTAACAATGAAAGGAAAAATTAACAAGACCAGTGCACTTGTTAGAGCCAGAAAGTAGAAAACTCTTGGGGGCTGCTGCTGGCCAAAGAACTCCTAAGGTGGGTGGAGAAGGGCTGTGTTGACTGAGTCCCCAGTTCTGGATGGAGTTTCTATAGGCCTAGGTGTTGTCTGTGTTCAGGGCACCCAATCCAGAAGTGGTTTGTGGAGGTTCTTCAGGTTGCTAGTTTTAGTGTCTGTCAGAACCTGAAGGCAGCTAGGGGCAGGGTGGCTGATTATGAAGGTTCCTGTTCATCTATCTGACCTGGAGACTCTGTGGGTTCTGTAGGTCTGTCTGTCAGGGAATCTCCCGGAATCCAGGAGCTAAGGCAGCACAGCAGGCAGCTACCTAGACTGGCTCAAACCATGCGGCTTAGCACTCCCAGAGAGCAGGGTCTACGCTGGGGATGTTATGTAGGGGACTGTGGGAGCAAGAAGGAATTTCACCTTTTCTGTCACCCATGTAAATCTGCATTGTCTGGTTGCTATCTGTTTGTCTCTCCCTACCTTGTGACAAAATTCTAGATGGACCTGCACATCTGACTGGTAGTCTTTTCACCGCTCAGTCTCTTTTGTTGCCTCTGCTCAGCTTCTCCTCCCACTAGGTCTTCAATCCATTTTTCTAACCTTTCTTTTGAACCGCAGGGTTCCAGGATTGTCCTCTGTGTCAGTTCATTTGTGGTGCTGTGGATTGGTGCGTTAGACTGCAAAGTTGGTTTGAATTGCAAGGTCGGTGGTTCAGACTCACCTTGGAAACCCTATAAAAGATCTCTATGGGTTGGAACCAACTCAGTGGCACTTAACAACAACAACAACAATCTTTGTTGCAGAGAGTCTGTTTCGTGTGTCTCTCTAGTCTACTGTCCTTCTGGAAGTCTCCTTCTGTGTTCTATTTTAGACAAACTTTCCACATCGGGATGTTTCAAAACTGAATGAAATAGCTAATGTTTAAAAAAACAACAACATTTTCTTCTAGTATCCTTTTCTGATGATGAGAAATACCAGCTGCGAAAATTTGTCAATAAATCGTATCTGCTGGATAAGCAAGCCCATCGTCAAGTGTATTACAGTTTGATTGACATCCTTCTGGCCTATTGCTATGAAACTCAAGTCACCGAGGGAGAGAAGAATGTAAGTAAGTGCATGTGTGTCTGTGCATGTTGGAATACAGTCGTGAGAGTAAATCCTGTTGTGATTAATTATGTAGGGCATGATGTGGGCAGAAGAGCAAGTGTGCGTTGGCAGTGGGTAGGAATAGGAAACCATGGTACACATTTGGTCTTTTTCTCTTCTCTCTGGACTTTCATCTCTACCAAAGAGCAGAGTGGGGAAGTTTAAGGAATTTAGGCTGAGGACTGAGGATATCCTGATTCTCAGTCTTGCTATTAAAAGGAAAATGCATACATTTCTTAAAGACAGTAATTAAAATTTGTTAGCATTTCAGCCATCAGAAATGTCCCTTGTTACAGTATGATATGTGTCTTCCCAGTTTTCTCAGTGTTCACATGTCTATATATGTATATTTACGTTAGATCAGAACATATCCATGATATTTAATTTGCTCTTCTTACTCAACAGCATAACATTAGCATAGAATTAGAATTTGCTTTGTGCCAATTTTATTGTTGTCATGATTCTGGAAATCTCTAAGGCGACTCTTGAGGTTTGCAATTGGCTCCAAAATGAATATTAATGAGTAAGTGTAGCAAGGGTCTAATATAATTGAAAATTGCCCCCCCCCCACTCTTCTTTCAAAGAATTACCATTGAAGAACATGTTTTCTCACAAATAAAGTGCTTCATGTTATTTCTTGAAAAAGAAAAATAAGAGTGTTATATTTGATAAAATTTGCTATTTGATTCTTGTATTTGAAATCATGATGTTTTGCAACTTTGAGACTGTCTCCAACATTTGCTTATTCTTACAGGCGTTTTCTGAAAGGCTAAATTTTTGACCACCTTTTTAAGTGCCGCACACAGCACTTCAGCATTATCTTTGATTCTTTAGTATGTTATTTATAAGATATTTGGGAAATGAAAAATTGAGAAGGACAGAGATTGAACATTCATTGCTTTGCTGTAAAATAGTTCCTTGCTTTTCTGTTGTGTCGCTCTTATCAGTGAAAATGCATTATATATATATATATATATATACACACACACACACACACACACACATACACACACACATATTTATATATACATACATACGTGTGTGTATTAATTTTTTATTGTGAATTGAATGAAGGTTTATAGACAAGAATATTAGTTGTACATTGAACAGATTATTTACTTTGTTTCATCTCAATGGTTGCAATCCCCTCTACATTAACATCAAGGAGCACTCTGGTAGCGTATTGGTTATAAGTCAGGGTGCTAACCTCAAGGTCAGCAATTCGAAACTACCAGGTGTTCTGCAGGAGAAAGATGAGGCTTTCTGCTCCCATAAAGATTTATAGCCTATTCACAGGTGCTGTGAGTCGGAACCGGCTCCACGGCACATAACCACCACCACTACGTACCACGTAACAACAGTTATCCCACATCCTCCCTGTTGTTCCTATTTCCATTCCACCCACCTTCCCAATCCTTCTCAGCTTTGTCCTTACATAAATATTGCCCTTTTGGTTTTGAATGGTTGGCCATTCCATGGTGAAGCATACCTTACTAGTGTTATTGTCTCCCCTTTATTTCTGTCTACTAAACATTGGGCAACATGGGTGAGTTCCCTCCTGACCTGAAGCGTGGTCAAGGGCCATAGTCTCAGGTCTTCCAGTCTCTTTCTGACCAATAAGCTTGGTCAGTCTTGGAGAAGCATTATATTTTGGAATTCTAAGGAGAGCAGACACAAACTTGCCTCTGATAGCCTCTTCTATCAGCAGTAAAGTTATTTTTCTGCACTAGTGAGCACATTTTAGTGTTTATATATGCCACTGGTACTCAGACTTATGTGGATGTATTTACTTGCTTTTTACGTGATATATCCTCTAATGTGATGGTACTGTTTTCTCCATAACAAACCAAGGTTGAATCTGCATGGAATATCAGAAAATTGAGTCCAACATTGTGCTGGTTCGAGGTATGATTTTTAGCTTCAATTGTTTAGATTTTATTTGCTCATCAAGTTATTCTTCCATCATTGTTAGTTCATTTTTGGTAGTTAAGCGATTCCTTGACTTTTTAAAGTAAAAACTTTTCGATACAAGTCTGCTTTTTAATAAAGTTCGGATTTCCATTTGTTACCCTTACTCTAATCGTAATAATGCTGATTACGCCAGTTTGGGTATTTTGGAAAGCGACTAGGAGCATCTTTTTTGGGAAACATTGAGAGATGGCATTTAAGGCCTGTTTGTAAGTTGTTCATGTATGGAAGTCACACTTAGGTGACAATACTACTTGCTGTCACTTATTCATCATCAAGATATGTGTTACATTTATGGTGGGACTTCAAAAGTTCATGGAAAATGAAATTAAAAGATAATGGAATTTTTATGTTAAACTTTTGAAGCTTCCTTGGATTATCTGGAGCCTTGGTGATACGGTGGGTTAAATGATGGACTGCTACTTACAGGGTTGACAGTTCAAATCCACCAGCTGCTCTGAGGAGGAAAAGTGAAGCTGTCAGCAGCTGTAAAGATAATCAGCCTTGCAAACTCTGTGCTGTTATCTGGCGGGATCAACTCAGCAGCGTTCGGCTCCCTAGGGTCTTCAGTATATCTTGGATCAATGATCAATTTGGTACTATTCAAAATAAAACTCTTTTTTTTTCCCCAAGTCAATGTGGAGAAAAAGTGTCTGCTCTGTAATAAGTGAAAGCAAATGATTCAAGTAAATAATCATTGTTACTTATGCCCATAACATAAAAGGAGACTATGAGTATACTTCACTCTGGAGTTCTACATTGTTCATCTGAAGTGTCTTGAATATTTCTAAGAGACACAAGCATGAATCAGATATCATTTTTAAGTGTCCTTTACTTGCATCTGTATTTTGTTAATGCCATATGCTTTTAGATTCTTATTTGTAACTCTTGAAAGTCTTTATAATTTTTCTTGCTGCATAAGTAATATTTTAAGGTGCATTTGTAGCATGCTGCTGCATTCTGAATAATTGCAAAGATGACAATTACTGTAAAGTATACAAACTATGTCTGATTTCATGATTTTATATTTCTCTTCTACTTGGCTTTCTGATGACCCAAAATGTTAATAGTTTAGTATTTCCTTGTGTGCTTTTGGTTGTAAAATCTGTTTTATTTCCTTATTCAAATGACATTTCACAGACATATACTAACGTTCAGGAAATCCTGGTGTCCTTTGGAAGGAGAGTTTTGTGCTACCCACTTTATCGCCATTTCAAGCTTGTGTTGAGAGCCTACAGAGATGCTGTAAAGATACTACAACTAGGTAAGACGTTGTTGTGCTTGCAGATTTGATAGTGAAAAGTTATAAACTTTGAGTGTGTGAAAATGTAATGGTTTTACTATTCTGTATACATAAATGAAAACTTTCCAAAACCCAAGTACCTCCCCACCCAGTACATAAAGCAAAAGTCCCACTGTGAAGGTACATGATCACTTCCTTCCTGATGGGTGGGATGGGTATGTGAGGATGCCATACACTGTATTCCAGACCAGTTCGTAATGGGGTGTAGTGTGTGTAATTTTCTACATGTTATATACTAGGATTGTGAGCATAATAATAAATAAGGTAAATTCTGTGTTTGGTGTTGTGGGCTAATGTATCAGACTGCAAAGTCGTTTTAACTGCAAGGTCAGTGGTTCAAGCTCACCAGCTACTCCTTGGAAACCCTATACAAGGTCACTATAGGGTCGGAATCGACTCAACGGCACTTTACAACAACAACAACAACAAATGAAGTAGTTAATGCTGTAGGCTATGCAAACCCAGCAGCAACTATGATGGAGAAAGATGAGCCATTCTGCTCCCGTAAATAGTTACAGCCTTGGAGACCCTATACAGAGTTGCTGGGAGTTGGAACTGACTAGAAGGCACTTTAACAACAACAGCGTGGCATTTACAGGGGCCCTGGTGGCACAGTGAGGACCCGTGGTGCAGCTTTTGGCTATTGCTAAAACCAACCAGAAACGAGAAAGAAACATGTTGCCTTTAAGGATGTGAGAAATTCCACAGTGCCCATTGAGCATCCTTGGGATAACTATGTAATTTCCAAGACAGTGAGTTTGAAGGAGACACCATCCATTTGTATGAATTAGTTCTGGCACATTTATTTGAAAGTCATTTCGGATACTTTATGGTCACTTCTTGTGCCCTCCCCGGGGAAGTCTCATTCTTCTTTTGTCCTTAGATATATGTGTGCTGGGGTTTAGTTTTTAGGCTGTAGGTTAAGAAGGAGGAAAGGAAGGAAGTTTTTCCTTGTTCATCCAGGTGACTTCCTTGGCTCAAAGGAGAGTCACAGCTCCTGCTTAGTGGAGTCCTGGTGTGGCGCCGTAGGATAAGTACTTGACCTCAAGGTTGGTTTGAACACAAAGGTGATTCAAACTCACCAGCTGCTCCTTGGCAACCATGTGCAGGGTCACTATGAGTCAGCACTGACTTAACAGCAACAACAGAGGAGTCCTAGTGTGGTGGTGTAAGGTAAGTACTGGACCACAAGTTCAGTTTGAACCACAAGGTTGATGGTTGAAACACACCAGCCACATCTTGGAACCCTCTACAGGGTCGTGATAAGTCTGAATGTACTCAACAGCTCTTAACGACGACAACAACAGACGTGTACCTAAGTTTTTCTTTGTTCTCTGGTGACTTATATAGTTGTCTTTCCCTGGAGGAAAGTCTTCTTTGAAGGAGATTTTATTAACAGAGACATTAATTATAAAAGTGAATCCTAATTAAATGAACAATACCATTTTGTTCATCTAATTGGTTTGACTCTCTGCATTTGATTTGGAAGGCCTTTTGATTATGAAACGGCAGACAGTACAACCACTGAGAAATGTATCGACTTTAACAGTGGGAAATGATAGCCCTGTGTGCTCAGTTGTCATTCCTTCTTGCCTTCCACCTAAGGCACTTCTGAAATTACCTTGCAAAATCAATCTATTATAAACGACTGATTGTTGAGCTTGAAAAGTAATCAGTTACACATTACAATTAATTTTTTGTTTAAGTCATGCTAGATTATCTGGGCATTATTCATAAATTGAAAGAGTGAGAACGTAGTTTACACTTGTCCTGTTACATCTGGCTTCCAGATGGAAAACAGTCAACGCTGTGACAAAACACGCATATGTACAGATACATACACACGTACACACAAGCTACTACCTACCCATTTTTGTTTTAGGAAGTAATCTAGTTTCCTAAATTATTTTTATTTGAAAAGTAATCAGTGCTGTGATTGCATAGCCAAAAGTAAATTTGATTCCCTTGATTTACATTGTAATCAGTTGCTCAAAGAGTTTTATTTAGTAGGTTAGATATGAAATTTAGATGTCACTTCATCATTATCAATCTTGCAAGAAGTGGCCTTATCAGCTGTGCGGTGACAGCAACAGAAAACTTGATGAATACATTGGCAGTCTCTCTGCTGACAGTGAATCCGAATGTTCTGTAAATCCTGCACAGGGTGTTTCTGTGGTTGTCTTGAGTTGTGGCTTGTGAGTGCTGCACAAGTGGCCTAGAATTCACACTGAAAGCTGTAGGGGTGACACACTGACTGAGGCTTGGAAGCTGAATTTGTGCAGAGGAAGGGCATAGGGGTGCCGTTTGTATCTCTAAGAGGCTTGTTTGTTTGAATGCCTCATAATTCAGTCGTGATAGCTCTGGTTTGGCATTTAATGCTTTCTAAGAATGAATTTGTGCCTATTTATAATCCAGAATGCAGCCACAGTCCTCACACTTTTTATTTTAAGGGTCAGGAGAGCTCTTTCAGAGTTGAAAGTCATCACTAACTGTTTCTCCAAAAGAAATAATTGATCTTCAACAGAATAAGCTTCTGAATCCAATGTAGGAATGCTTCTGAATCTAAAAAAAAATATTTTATTATAACTTACTAAGATCTGAATTTTCTAAAAGCCCTGAATTTGCTTTGCAGAAGTCTTTATAAGGATTCTTTCGTAGGCTTTGACTTTTTAAAATTTTATATTTCTTCTTTCATCATTTCCCTTTCTCCAAAAGACTGCCCAGTTTTACCTCACTGTTGCTGTATCCAAACTCTTCAAGGCCCAGAAAGCCTGCTTTTCCTCTGTACTGTCTCAGTACTTAATCAGTACCTGGTGCACGTGGTATGGCTGACCCTGGGGCGGGCAGGAATCCTGGAGTACGTGATTGTCCTCCCTTTTTTCTCAGTCTCTGTCTTTCAAGCCGCTTTCACATGCTCTGCCTGTTCCGTTCTTTGAGGAAGAATGAGTAAAGCGCTTCATGCAAGTGTCAGTTCACTGATACTGTTGTTTAGTGCTGTTGCTTCGGCTCCGACTCATAGCAACCCTGTATAGGGTTTCCCAGGAACGGCTGCTGATATTAGTCAATTGAAAATAAATGGAAGAAATAAAGAGAGCAGTTTTTTAATCTAGCTTCAGAAGCTTTATATGTGACATTGTTTAATACTTGCTTATACATTGTTTATCCTATGTGCCAACCCTGTACAGGGTCGCTATGGGTCGGACCTGACTCGATGGCACTTAACAACAACAACAATAGCTACATTTTATTAATCTTAAAAAATCGTAAAGGCATCCCTCACTCTGCTTTGGTAGTCTTGCTCAATTATTTAATGTGTCATGATAATGCTAACTATGATGATGAAGAGTACTGGTATAGTGCTGTAGGATACATACTGGACTGGCAACTGCAAGTTTGCAGTTCAAACCCTCCAGCCGCTCTTTACAGGGTCACTGTGAGTAGTGATGGCACACAAGAACAATTATAATGAAAGGGGGAAGGGGAATACTGACATTTTCTCCCTGCACCCCGGTTTAGCTCTTTCTGTGGATTATTTATTAATTTGGGAGGAAATAGTAGGCAGATTTCTATAACTTAATTTGTAACCATCATTTTTAGTTTGCAAAGTTATTTTAATGCATAGACTGACCCCTTTGTATGTCATTTAAAAAAGAAAATCTTCCTTTCCCCAATGTTGGTGTTGTCGACAGTATCGCCTGCATCCAGGGAACCCCCCTCCACTCAACCACCACAGGCTGCTCCCTCCCGCTTCCACATGGAGAGGGGCCTTGAAAGTTGTGAGTCAGATACTCGTGTCTGTACTCTACAATCTCCAGTGTGCAGGCTACTCTGAGGACTTCTAAGCCTGCTTTATCTTGGTAAGGTGACAGGAAAGGGCCTCCTCCTCCCCATGGAGAGTGGTAGAAGACCCCATAGTACGTAGCCACTTTATCCAAAGAGATCTCTTGGCAAGTGAATAATCCAAGAAGCTTGGTTCTATGAAGAAGAATGTGGCATTAGGATTGGAGGAAGACTCACTAACAACCTGTAATATGCAAATGATACAACCTTGCTTGTTGAAAGTGAAGAGGACTTAAAATACTGACTAATGAAGATAAAAACCTCATCCTTCATATAGATTGCACCTCAATGTAAATAAAACAAAAATCTTCACTATGGACCAATAAATAGCAGCACGATAAATGGAGGAAAGTTTGAAGTTATCAAAGATTTCGTTTTCTTTGGATCCACAGTCAACACTTACGGAAGGAGCAATCAAGAAATCAAATCATGCATTGCACAGACAACTCTGTTGTGCCAAACTTCTTAAAATGTTCAAGAGTAAAGAGGTGAGGTCAGTGAGAGGACTTGGCTCCTGACCCATGCCGTGGTATTTTCTTTAGCTTCACATGCATGTGAAAGTTAGTGAGTAAGGGAGACGGTTGAAGACTTGTTGCATTTGAGTTCTGGTGTTGGAAAGGAATATTGAAAGTACCATGGACTGCTAGAAGAACAAACAGGTCTGTGTTTGAAGACGTATAGCCTGAGTGCTCCTTGGAGGTAAAGATGGCAAAACTTCATCTCTCAGACTTCCGACATATCATCAGGAGGGATCAATTCCTAGAGAAGGACATTATGCTTGGTATAGTGGAGGGTCAAGGAGACGGATTGGCACACTGGCAGCAGCCGTGGACTCATGCCTAACAATTGAGAGGATGGTGTGTCGTTCTGTTGTGCATAGGATGGCTGTGAGTCAAAACCCGCTTGATAGTACCTAACAGCAAAAATCTCCACCCCAAGGGGTTTGGCAGAGAAGTAAGAGGTTACAAATTCGCAGAACATTTTTCATTACTCTCTAAGGTTAGTGTAGGGAGTTGAACATCATTTCTTAAAAGATCTAGAATACTTGATGCATATTTTTTCTTTTGTGATCCTCATTGGAAATGTGTCAGAAAGCGTCCTGCTAGAGTATCTTACCAACC